TATATTTTTTTAAAAATGTGTGTGTATATATATATATATATATATATATATATATATACACACTTCGATGTACTTATTTAGATGGTGAGTGCTATGAACATCTTTGAAATTTTCTTTACCTTCACTTAACCTTCATTTGCTGTATACAGTTTGTCATGAAGCCCTGCTATTTCTTTTGGCAAAGAAGTCTTTCAGGCCTAGCTCTTCCTCTTTATTTTCATAACCACTACCCTGTATTAAGCTTCCCTTATGCTGTACATCATTGCCTGTGTTCCATACATCATCCCCAATTTTCCATCCTAACCATCTTCTCATCTGGACTAATCTTAGACTCTCCCTAACATACTTAAGTGGCATCAAGTGGAGATCAAGAATCAATGTGCTAGCAAAGGACATGGTGTTCTATGTGGAACAGACACTCCATTTTCCTCTAGAGTACAAGTAGGAAGAACAGGGGCACATGGCCATTGTATTTCTCTGTCTCTCATGTTAGGGCTTAACCCTAACCATATCACCGTAGTCTCTGTAGATAAGTAATACCCATTATAGTTGATATTCATTGGCGAGCTCCTAATTTGTGAGGTGTATCAAGAGTAATGTTACTGGGACCAGCAGTTGGCATGATGGCTATGTTGCTGGACTCCCATGTAGTCGACCACAGTTCAAGTCCCAGACCCGGTGGCTTAAATTCACACCAGGTGCATGTGCGTGCGTGTCCAAGATCCCAAGAGGAGAATGGAGGAGAAGAGATTGCGGTGTGGCCATCTCCCCTGGGGGGTGATTTCTCGCTTTCTGTCTCTTTGTCTTTCTGGAGAGCACATGTGCCTGCAAAAACCTCTCAAAAAAAAAAAAAAAAAGAGCAATGTTACTAATATCAATTAAAATTATTATATTTGTAAAAGATTTAGGAAAACAAATTAGGGGAAATTCAGTTAGCCCACTAATTATATTTCTGTCTCACTTTCATTTCCACGTGCTTTGTTAGGACAAAAGAAAAGGATCAAATTGCAGCAAATGTGCCATAGTTGTGCATAACCCAAACCTTGCCTCTCGTGTCTCACACAGTCTGTAGTTTGTGAAGTCATATGTGAGAATGTTGCTCAGCATGGGCAGTAGCAGAAAAATACTGAGGATTCTTCTATTGGTTTCCATGGCTACTGCTGATACATACTTGACTATTTCAAGATGTGTCTCCCCCTAATCTCTACCCCTTTTTAACTACAGTAAAAATGGAACTTTAAGCATGTATACGATCTTCCTTAAGACTCTAACTCAGACCAATTTCTAGCTAAGACAAACAAGAAAAGCATTTACTTTTATTTTTAAAGTTTTTTTCCATAGGGCATGTGTACTCACTGGAGAGAGACAGTGAGAAGAAAGTGAAAAATCATTCCCTGGGGGGTATGGCCATGCCACAGTCTCTTCTCCTCCATTCTCCTCTCAAGATTTTGGGCATGTACCTGGTATGATTTTCAAGCCACTGAGTCTGGGACTTGAACCATGATAGGACATGTGGGAGTTCACTGCCTTAACCACCATGCCACTTACTGGTCCCCGAAAAGCATTTACTTTTGAGGCTGCTGAGAAGGGCGTCTCTTAAGTCTTCCTTGCTCTTCATAAATCAAATCACTGTTGTATTTTGTGGTTCCAGATATTCTTGGAGAACTTGGAGCATGAAGACACTTTTGTATACCTGTCTGCAATTCAGGGTAAGTTAGTCCTGGTGAAAGGACTTTGACACTGGGCCAAAGATTGTATATTGTTTGTATAATAGCTCTGAAGTCATAGAGCTATGAGACTACTTGTCACTTTGTCCATCTTTCTGCCTCCTGGATAGGATACTTTAAATAATACTAATATTATTATCCCTGGAGGGTTCCCAAAGGGTCTCTGTAGTTTTACTTTCTTATAATGATGAGGAAGTTTTTGTCTTTACTTATGCCATAGATTAAATCCCATGCCTGTACTGAAGGAGGTACAGAATGGCTCACACGTGAGCTCTTATTACATTGCCCTTTTAAGCCACTTACTAATGTCAGTGTGTACCTTTGCTCTCTCTTTATGCTAATAGAATCTCAGGTTGTTTAATATTCATTCATCAAAAAAAAAATTGGCAATAATGTTACTTCTCTTTTATGATTCTTTGTTGTTCCCCACATCTCCACTAATTTGTGGATTTCAAATATAGAGGGTGTCAAGAATTAGACACCCTTTCCAAAGGGTAAGAAGCAGATTTGGTGAGAAGGCCTGAATGCCCTCAGTTCCCTTGGCTCTGTCGGTGTGGTATAGTGTGGTATAGTCCTCGAGAGCTGGGAGTCTGGATGCAGACCACCTAGGTGTACCTTCCCATCCTCTGCTTAATCTCTTTGGGCTTCAGTTTCTTATGTGTGGAAAGGGGACTAAGTGGAAATATAAAATCATACAGGTGCTTTAGAAAGTAGTCTGACAGTTCTTCAAAAAGATAAACAGAGTTTTCACTTGCTCCAACAATTTTACTCCTAGGTATGTATCCAAAAGAAATTAAAACATATCTACACAAAACTTGTATGTGAATATTTAACTTACAGCAAAATTATTCACAGTAAGTAAATGGTAGAAATAACCCAAATGTTCAACTGAGGAATGGATAAACAAAGTGTGGTATATGCACACACTAGAATATTATGTGGTTATAAAAATTAATGAAGAACAGATACATGCCACAGTATAGATGAATCTTATATTCCTTATATTATGTTATATGAAAGAAATCAGTTACAAAGTACTGCATATTATATGAGTCCATTTATATGAAATGTTCAGAACAGACAAATTTATAGAGACAGAAAGTAAATTAGTAGTTGTCTAGGACTGGGGGCCAGAGTTGGAGAGTGCTAGTTTAAGGACATAGGATTTCTTTTTGGGGTGTTGAAAATGTTCTTAAATTGGGCCTGTCAGGGCCAGCAAATGTTATATTGGTTAAGGTACTAGACTCCCACGTGGCTGACTGTGGTTCAAGTCCTGGACCTGGCAGTTTGAAACATGCCAAGTGCATGTGCATGAGTGTCCAAAATCCTGAGGGGAGAATGGAGAAGGGATTGTGGCATTGCCATCTCTCCTAGGAAGTGATTCTCGCTTTCTATCTCTCTGTCTCTCTCTGTGTCTCAGGTGAGCGTGTGTGCCTTCTAGCAAAAAAATCTTCAAAAAAAAAAAAAAAAAAAAGAAAGAAAGAAAGAAAGAAAAAAGAAACTGGGCCAGTCCCACAGCACAATGGTTACGAATAGTGCATCTGGAGCTGGAACTTACATGGCCAGCTGCGATTTGAATTTTGGCCCTGGCAGCCTGAAAAACATGCCAGACATATATGCATGTTTGCCCAAAGTCCTGACAGATGGAGAAATGGAATTAAAAGTATCGTAGTGTAACCACACCCCAGTTGAGTGTACTTTCTCTCTCTCATCTCTCTCTTGCTTTTCCTCTCTCTGTCTCTTACAAGCACATTTGTCCTCTGGCAATTAAAAACAGAAAAAACTGAAAGAGTATTTCTGAAATTGATTGTGGTGATGGTTGCACAACTCTGTCAGTGTGCTAGGAACCATCGTGCTGTACACATTAAATTTAAACTCTGGCCAGTTATGGTGGCACAAGTAGGAAGGCACCACTTTGCAGTGGCTGAGCCACGTGGGAGGCTTGGGTTTGGTTTCTTAGGTTTGGCACAGAGGCATGAGCTGTGATCCTAGCTAACTAGGAGGCTGGGACAGGAGGATTGAGACATGGTAAAATCCTGCCAAAAATACCTATAATATGGGCCAGCAGGTGGAATATTGGCTAAGGAGCTAGACTCCCACATGGTTGACTGCAGTTCGAATCCTAGACCCAGTGACTTAAAACTCATGCCTAGTGTGTGTGTGCATGTTTGCCCACCCAAAATCCCAAGAGGAGAATGGAGGAGAAAAGATAGTGGCGTGGCCATTCCCACTAGGGGAGTGATTTCTTGCTTGCTTTCTCTGGAGAGCACATGCGCCCTATAGCAAAAATCTCAAAACAAAACAAAACAAAACAACAACAAAAACCCCACCTCTTAGAATAATAATAATAATAATTCTGTAATCTAAAACTATTCTATTATAGAAAGTTTCTTTATAAAAGGGCCATCTCTGTGGTGCATACATAATGCATAGCTCAAGAGAAGTCACATCATATGTGATTACTACAGTTTGAATGTGGCCTGGTCAGCCTGTAAAACACTGGACACATGCATGAGTGTCCAAGATTCACTGGGCTAGAGGACCAGAGGAAGACAGTTGTGGCATGAGCAAATACTGTGGAGGGTACTCCTCTCTCTCATACGTGCGTGTGTCTTCTATCATGAATAAAAAAAAGAACACAAATTAACAGGGAGAGCATATACTAGGATTAGATGAGTTAATACTGAAAGGGTTTAGCACATATTGTTCAATATATGTTAGCTATAACTATTTTAGTGTCATTATCATCATCATTTTTAATTTGCTAAAGGATGCATGTGCTTGCTGGAGACAGACAGGGAAAGCAAGAAAGCATCCCCCTGTAGAGGATGGTCACACTGCACTCCCTTCTCTCTAGCTCCCTTCAGGATTTTGGGCATGCACACACATGTACCCAGCATGTTTTTCACGCAACCAGGTCTGCAATTTGAACTATGCTGTTGGCCAGGTGGGATCCAACCGCCTTAAGTTCCACACCACTGACAGTTTCATCATGATTATTGTTACTTCCAGTGTTGGATTGCTAGGTAATATTGTGATCTTTATAACTCCGCAGTTGTAAAGCTTGAGTAGACTGATTCTATCAGTTATTGCTACTTAACAAACTCTCCCAGCCTTCAGGGACTTAAGACCCCAACCATTATTATTGCTCACACATCTATAAACGAATCAAGGTTCAGTCAATCCTGACCTGGGCAGTTGTGCTTCTCTCCAAGATCTGTGGGCCAACAGTCATGGCTCTAGCATGTTTCTAATCATCCTGGACCAGTTGCCTACCGGGACATGTTCTCCTCAGAGTGATTGCAGCAGTGTCGGACCACAAATACACACTCAAGAGACCGCTTCAGGCCCAAGCTTGGAATAGGCATCCTGTCACTTTGGCCTTATCCTGTTGGCTAAAGCAAGACACGTGGCTTGACCCAAAAGTCAGTTGGTGGAGAAATACACTCTGTCTTTTTAATGGGACAAACTGACAAGGGCCTGGATGCAGGGAGGGGTGAAGAATTTACACCAGTAATGAAGTACTTCACACTGATGTTTTCTACCTACCTGCCAAAGGCAAGGCTCATAGCATGAAAACAGTGTAGGTTCTTACTGGCCAGCTATTTCTGGTATAATTTGGGCGTGCTCTTACAGACTTAGGATTTGAGGCTAAAGAAAGAGTGCAGAGGAGAGAGCATACGGTAATGAGGACCTGAGCCTTAGGATTCTTTATCAATAAACATACAAGTGGACTTCAGAAAGTTTGTAGAAAAATGAAATTAAACTACAAATTTATTTTAGTACAAAAATTTTTGAAATTCATTTACAGTTCTTCATAATACACTTTTTTCTCTATGTACCTTTTTTCTCTATGTATCTCTTAAATATTGTGTATCTACTAAATACAGAACATTTTAGATTAACTGTGAGTTGTCATGACTACATTAAAAAGCAAAAAGAGAATTCCCTAGAGGATACCTAAATGACTACCTGAAGAGCTAAAGGGCAGTGAAGTGAGAGCAGAAGCCAGAGGGTAGAGGTTTAAGAGACATTACCTCTGCTGAGAGGTCAGGGAGGGCAGGAATTGAGATGAGCCTGGGGCTCTGGAGGCCACATGACAATGAATGATACTTATGGAAATCAGATAAATCAATGAAGCAAGAATCTAAAGTGCCTGCAATTAATGTTTCAGAAAACAAGTCATCCTGCACTTTTCCCATGAAACTATAATACTGTCAAGGAGACGTTTTTCATTGATTTTTATTTTTTAGGACTGGTCTTCAGGAAGTGATAGCATATTATTCTAATGTGGCAATGTTGCCCTTTGGAATAAGCTTCTTAGCTGATTAACTCATTGAGCTCATTAGCCTCTATGATCTGCTATAAAAATCACAACTGTTGGTGTTGTGTTTGTTTTTAGTAATTTTAATTGGTGTGCTAATCAGTTAGTAGCTAATTTGGTGATGAAGAACACAGGAGGTAGAGATATAATTTCTGTTCTCAGCTCCCCATGATGGACAGGTTTGAACTAATTGATGTTTTTGGTGCTTGTAACATACACTTAAAAGCCAAGGCCTTAGGTGAATTTCCCATTAAGAAAGGGAAGAGCTGAATTTTCCCACCTGCACTGCCAGCGTAGTTTGCCCAGGCTTACAGCATGGCTTTGTAGGAACAAAGCCATTCTAGACTCTCAATCAGACAAAACCAGCTCACTTGTAAATGTTGTACAGTAGAAGGAGTGCCTGGTTTTGGTCTGAGTAGTATTTAGTTTTGGGGACTGTGTGTGTGTTTAAAGTTTTTATTTTCCTTTTTGCTATAGGGTTTGTGCACTCCCTGGAGAGAGACGGAGAGGAAGAAAGAGAGAGAAAGTGAGAAATCAACCCCCAACCCCAGAGGGAATGGCCACACCATAGTCCCTTTTGGGGATTTGGGGCATGCATGCATGCATATATGCCTGGTCTATTTTCTAAACTGCCAGGTCTGGGCCTCAAACCGAGCAC